ATAAAGATTATTTGAATTGTATCAACTATGTAGAATGGATTATGTGACTACTAATGAAAGAATATATATTAGTAACTTGTTTACTGCGTGCAAACGAAAGAACAATAGTGATAGATCAGTTTATTTTTAGTAAGAAAGTCCACTCACAATCGTGAAATAAATTTAATTTTGTCCTTGTGGAGAAACATAATTAAGATAAGAATAAAGAGACGACTCAATTGATATTATCAATACTGTATACTTCTTCAACATGGGTACCAATCTAGTTACAACAGTAAAATCTAAAGAAGTTTCTGATGATTTGAAAGAACATAAAGTAACACGACAACTTTGGTTTTACTTTGTTGGTTCAATGTTCACTCAAATCAGTACGAATGCAGCACAAGTCATTGGTCCATTGGTTCTTTTAAGCGTTAGTTCATCGGGTTTCATGACGTTAATATTTGGACTTTCAGCAGGGACAGATGCATTAGGAACATTATTTGGTTCTACCATATTGAAACTCTTTTCACCAAATATAACATTAGTTATAATACAGATATGGAGATTAATTTGTAATCTATTATTGGTTTTATTACTTCACTTCAATTTATTGAATCGAACAAATGGTGCTCTATTAATATTAGCTGATAATTTTAGTTTGGGAATGTATGATACTGTTAGAGCTTTATTACCATTGGTTTGGACAGATAATACTGATAATAAAAATAATTCCATTCATCAACAATTAAAACGATTGAATCAGCGAGCACAATTTATGTTTGAATTAGGGACATTATTAGGCCCATTATTTGTTGGAATTATTCTATTAGTTACAAATGGTAATCAAGAAGCAGCTATTTGGTGTACTGTTCTTGCTTTTTGTGCTACTTGTTTATGTTATATGTTTGTACCCGATAAAATTTCGCCTGTACCAGAATCAAAACAAACTTTTAAAGAAACAATTTATCAAGTAATTCATTCTAATGATTCAATAATAAAACAATGTTATTTAACAATGATTTTGTTACAAATTTATCGTGTAAAATCTTCTTTACCAGCAGTAATAGCCAATTCAATATTACATTCTCCTAGTTCAACTGCTTGGATTACATCCATGTGGGGTGTATCTGGTATGATTGGAGCTATAGCTTTTAGAAATCTGAAACCCAATTCATTAGTGACAACATTGAAATATGATGCTTTAGCATTATTAATATTTGCTTTCGGTTGGAAAACATATAATTTATATGCTTATTTAATGACTGTTATACTTTATATAACCATTGATAGTATTGTTCGTTTACAAGTTCAAACAAGTTTACAAGCTGAAATCACAATTAATTCAATGGATGCTTCTATAATGAGCAGTAATCGATTTTTATGTAAAATAAATGCATTATTCATTCGTTTAGTTATTTCTGCTTGTTTCTATGCTCCTGACATTCATGAATTACGGTTTTGGTTAACAACCATATTTTTCATTCTATGCAGTATTGTTATTTATGGTTTAGCTTATTGGTTTCATAAAAATCAAAAACTTAAAGCTATAATTAATGCACCCATTTCAAAATGTTTATTAGATACAACGTCTCATACTTATCCTGGATATTTATTTGTATTTGAAGGTTTGGATGGCAGTGGAAAGTCCACACAAATTATGTTATTAATGAAATGGCTAGAAGAACAATATCCAAATAAAAAAATTAATTTAACAACATGGAATTCTTCAATATTATTATCAAATACAATTCGACATTTTAAACAGCAACGTTTATTAAAAAATCCACATTCATTTGCTTTACTACAATGTACAGATTTAATGGAACGTTTAAATACATTGATAATTCCAGCATTAAAAAATGGTGAAATTGTTTTATGTGATAGGTATTGTTTCACGGCATTAGCCAGAGATAAAGTTCGTGGATGTGATTTTAATTGGGAAACACAATTATATAAATTTGAACTTAAAGATGGTAATAACAATAAACCCATTCTGGTATGGCCCGACGCAATCCTATTATTTCGTGTTCCTGTTCATATTGCAATTGCTCGAGTTTATGCAAGAAGTTTAATTACTATCGATCCCAAACGACGTACACAAACTCCTGAAGATGAGGAGGAAGGTTTAGATTCTGAAAACGAAAGTGATTTAGATGATAATCAATCAGATAATGAAGACGAAGAAGAAGAAGAAGAAGAAGAAGAAGATTATTTTCCTCAAGAAGAAAGGAGATCAACTGTTGATACTGATGATCCATTATTTAGACGAAGAATTATTACCACATTTCGCGGTAGTGTTAGTTACGATACAATTGCCGATGACTTGCTGAGAGATAGATCTTTTAGTCACATTGATACGCAACATAGTAAACAACATAGTTTCCGACATAATACTATTAGTTCTGGTGACATATTGTCACCTGATCAAAATCAGCACTACGAGACCGAAACATCCGACTATCCCATTAATAATTATCCGACACATAATCAATCTCGTGGTATTGCAGTTTACAACAAGAAAACTGACAACAACGATAGTGTAGCGACGCCTATAATCCAGATATCCTATTATGAGGCTGGTTTAGATTTAAATTTACATTCAGATTTCAACGTTAATTTTCATCAGTTTCAACATAAAGTTCAATCTATTTACGAAGAGTTATTTGAGCAATATTCGTTTACAAATAATTTTCATTTATTTAATGGAGAACTCGATAGAGAAACATTATTTGAACTGATCAAACAATGTATTCAAACAACAATTAAACGACGAAATGAAGAAAGAAAGTTAATAAGTCCTTATTTTGAGAATAATGATATTGAAAAACAAATTCTTACAGAAGAGGAAACTCAAGCATTAATGATATCAGAACAATTCGGTCCTGCTATTTCAATCAACGACAATACTAGTATATTACAACCTCCCACTACTTTACCTGGCCAAAATAATGATAAATTATTTCGTTTTTATAAGAAGAGTATTGGAGCAACAACAATAGGATCAACTTCAGGTGCTGCTTTACACTTTTACTCTCGTTTTTTAACATTACAATTACAACAAAGATTTGTTACAATTTGGGAATCATTAACAAATCAATCAATTTCGAATTCAAATCAAATAAAATCTTATTTACATGGTAATCCACAATTAGATAATTGTGTAATAACTGCAGGACACGACAATGGATGTTTTTTATTGGATTTTGATCGTTCACGCATTGGACCGATTAGCTGGGATATTATTAGACTATTATTATCAGTACAAATTGCATTTAATACCAAACCTGCAATCTTAAATGAAAAAGAAAATGATTCTAATCCTATTAATTATGACAAAGACGATGAGAAGAGTGAAAATTTATTAATTTTACCAGTTACTACAGCTATACGTGTAAAAACTAAACAATCTGCTACCGCTACAAAAGCAAATATAGTTCCCTTAGCATGGTCCAAAGCATTTCAACAAGGCTATAGAAATGGAATCGATGCAAAACAGCATTTACGAACATTATCATATACATTAAAAAAACTTATTAATCATAAGAAGAACCGGCATAAAATTCCCAATTATTTGAAATCATCTCGTGCTGAACCAATATTCTTTGATGAAATTCAAAATGAAAAATCACCTTCATATTATATTCTACAATTATTACAACAATACTTAAATTCAGTTCCAGCTCAACAAGCTGGTTTAACAAGTGATTTAAATCGACTATCAATTCTTGAAATAGGTCGAACGTATTCTACTCAACATCGAGAAAGAATAATATTTGTTATTAAATATGCAAATAAATTGTATGATTTGGAATTCAAATTAATGTTACATGATATTGATGCCAATGGTTTTACCCATCCAGAATCAATTGATGTATTTGACGACGCTAAACGGTTTCTATTAGCATCCGAACTCTATTTACCAAAAGAATCAATACATCAATTATTATATCCCACCACATGCAACGGTCCAAAATCCTTAACTTATCTTGCTTTTATTCATCAGATTCAATCTATTGGAAAAAGTGGAAATGCTAAAAATAACTCCACATTTAAACTACGCATTGGAGTAGCTCCTCGTGATTTGGATTCGTTACAAATTCAAGAACTATTATTTTCATTAGGCCATCAATTAGGTCATGCACATACAAAATTTATCAATTCCAATCAGAATCAAAGTCAGCAAAATATAAGGTTGTCCACATATATTGAAAGAAATTGGGCAAGAATGGTTGAATGTGTTTTACAATTGCAATCAGAAGTTACTGAAAGTTATCAAATATTCGTGAAACAACAACAATATGATTTGAAGAAAAACCTATAATTCTGTTACGATCAGTTAATGACATTTTTCTTTTTTTTTATTACTCCAGCATTACCCAGGTCGAACAAGCGCGGTCGTAAACGACCGTATACGGAGAAATACGACGATTTACATGTGATCGTATTACGATCGTATACGGACGAAAAAACGGTCGTTTACGGAGACAGTAAATGGAGGCCGTATACGATCTCCGTTTTTCTCCATATACGGTCGTATACGACCGTATACGGTTACGGAGATATACGATCGTAATACGATCACATGTATTACGGAAAAACACGGTCGTAAACGACCGTATTTTTTCCGTATACGGTCGTATACGATCGTTTACGAACTCCGTAACGTTCGACCTGGGTATCTTCTGTTTGAAAAATTAGGTAACGAAGGAGCAACAATATAAGATGAAATGGGTCGATGATCTTAGAAATAGTTTAGATCTTTGAAAAATTATAACAAGAGTTATCTCGATTGTAATTTATATTATTGAAGCACATTTTTGCCTATAATATACAATTGGGTCGCTTTCATATAATAAAATATCTAAGAAAATATCATCAAAATAAAAAATTGTTAGCGCAATTTTTACGAAATCAAAGTGTGAAGAACGATTTTTTGAGGTCTAATGTCTGACCTTTTCCTTTATTTATTTTCAAAAATCGAAAATGTCCTCACACACACGTACATATATCACACTCCACGCACTCTGCACTTAAAAGGAAAAAAAACATATATATATTAACTATATCCAGGTTCAAAATATAAGGACAAAATAGAATAAAGAAAATGACCTGAGACATATCATGTCAAAGAAATAGTTAACAAGAAGAAAAGAGAAACGAACGAGAAAAAAAAATATAATACCGGGGTTACTCTCTAACAACGATATTTCGAAAACCTTCACAGGAACATCGAGTTCATGACTGAATATTCCATGTCCTGAAAATTGCTTCGGTTTAGACGATTCATTGCGATTTCGTTAAAAAAAAATCACTGATTAATCGTGATTTGTTGACGATTTTTCTCACTTTGGATTAAATTGCAATTAATCGCGATTCTATGACAAATATAATGATTGAGTATTCATTCAGGTAATCAAAAGCGCTTAAATCTTCCGATTGATTGCGATTAATCGGAAATATGAGTCCATGACGAATCTCACAAGGGAACCACCCCAAATGTATCGCGAATTATGATTTCGTATTAGCAGTGCTAGTAGCTCTTAATGAGACTAATAAAAGCCTAAAAGGGTTTGTGCCCATGACCTTGTCTGTTAGAGATATGTCTGTTTTTATGTCAAAAAAACAAATGTGGATTGTGTACTTTTTTCAAGAATATCTTTTCATTATTGTAATCAGTTATACGATGATTTTTTTTGAAAATCGACTAACTAGCGGCCTACATCCTTCGAAATTCGGTCTCTATCATCTTGATTAAACTCGACGTGTTCACTATTTCGCTGATAGCTGATGTAAGAATAGATGCATATGGAAATAAAAGACATAGAATGCCTTTTTTTTTAGAGAGAGATCGCATGTAAGCAACGATAGAGGTGAATCATGGCTAACTAAACCGTCTAATTCTGTTTTTTTTCTCCCAAAATGACGGATGCTGCAGCAATGGTGGCTATGCTAGCTGATCGAGTGTTGAAAGGAGAATCTCAGCGACGAATTAGCCATTCAAGAGAGCTGAAACTTGTTGAACATCTATATGAAGCGATCACTAACTTTTGTTCTTGCTCATCATACGAAATTGAAAGCGATGTTACCATCGATGTTGATGATATTACCGACAATTTTGACGAAGACGATTCACAAGACAATGGTATGAAAATGAAAACGAAGAAGAGCCTATATTTAAACGATATTCAACGGTGGATGACAACGATTTCTTCTTCAATCATTTTTTCTCTAAGGTTATACGGTAAAAGTACTCCAGTATTACGACGAAATGAACAGTCAAGACAAGAGAAGACACTCATTCGAGTCTCTTCTACTTCGGTTTAGAGACGTTTCCGATCGAATCTACATTACTAGATTTCGTGCTCATATTGGACGTCAAGGCACACCGTGAGAGAAATACGGGTGTGGATGTGGATGGGTGTGCTGGCATGGATGTGAGATGTGGATGTGGGTGGGTGTGTTGGTATGGATGTAGGTGTGGGTATTGGTGTGAGTGTTGGTGGTTGCCGGTATGAATGGGTGTGGGTGTTTGGGTGCGAGTGTGAACTGTGGGTGTGGGCACACCTCATTGTTGGATACACACATTCACACCGATCCATGCCCACCCACACCCAAACCGGATGGTATATAAGAACATAAATTGCTCAACTGGTCTCGAGTTAAGTCTGTCAATACTTGATAGTTGTTGCCATTCATCAGTTCTTCATGATCATCAAAGTTCAATGGTAGTTGGTTTCTTTATATCGTTGATCTTGTTTTCTTTATGTTATATTTGCTCTTTCAACTCTTTTTATAGTTTTATCAGTTCATCGTGAATGATTGTTGACATATTTAGTTTCTTCGTTTTTAATTAATTCAATGATGCGTTTTTGGCTCAATTTGCCATCAATTATATCAGTGGTGCAACATCTACTATTTTCCTATATGTAAACAGGCTGGTCAAATAAACAGTTGACACTTAATTCATTATTAACCTCGATAAAACGTGTCTTTTTTTGAGAAATAGATTTCACAAACTAAACATTTTTGCTGTGATTTAGCTACCCTAGAAACTAGTAATGAACGAGAATCAAATGTAGTAAATGATGTAGTTGGTGAAGTAGCAACACGAGAAACAGATTTTGTTGTGACCATCCTGATGATTTTGTTACTGAATCGGTTTGAACTACTGTATCTACTTTTTGGATATCTACATCCATCGTTGATTTATTTTCGCTTTCCGAGCTGTTATTCGACATAGAAGTCGTTTTCTTATTATATAATTTCATAAAACAAGTATTGTATAGTAGTAAATTGTAATTTTAATAATCTAATCAGTCTTGAGAGTTTTCGAGATATTGGCATTTTTCTTCTCTGTAGATGAGTTTTTCGCATCAATAACGATGAACTATTGTAGCTGTTTCAGTCATGACGAAAGATGTTAGATTGAATTAATTGAAAACTTCCACGACGAGCGTGCCAAAGTAATCCCACTAGGTCTGTTAGGTTTAGTTCGTAATAACTTCAACAATATAATAAAATATTTAACTGACTTTTATTTTAATAAATCAATTAGAGTGAGGCTAGTAAAATATGTCAATTTATTTTGATTATTTAATCCCCTACTATATAAACAAAGATTATATTATTTCGATGGGAAAATGTCCATTGCCAAACTTTACGCATCATAATCGACTGCAAAATTCGACCTCACTTCAATATTTCCTTTGTTTGGCTATGTTTCACTTTTTTATTTTTCAAGTCATATTTGGAACGAGCATGAAAAGCTGCATCGGTCCATATGTATCACTCATTGGTTTGAGATTCCATTATCCTATAATATCAGGTCAAAAGGCTTCCAAAACTTGGTTTTTAGTATTTGACCCTAAAACTATTCAAAATGTGTCTTTATGGCCTGATAATGGCTGCCAAAAACAGCCTTCTATTAGCATTCTACAAAAAAATAGTTGTTTCTCAGGGAAAACTTTGAAGAAAAAAGTTTTCGGTAGTCCTGGAATCCTTTACAAATGCAAAACTACAGGTAAACAATGACAGTCGTTTTTCGACAAAAAACAGTACTTCATTTTACTCCAACTTTCATGCTGATTCAGAATATGTTATTCTTTTTGAAAAATCCTCAATTTAGGTCATTTCAAACTTCTAATATCGGACTAACTTAGCGTGACCATAACTAATCGAGTGCACAATGACAAAAAACATTTTCTCAGTTTCTAGAACATTAAAACCATGGAAGCTGCTAAAATTGAATAAAATAGATTAGTTTCAATGCTCTAAAACTTGATTTAGTATCGGACGCTTTTTTAAAGTTCAACCAGATCGGACTAGGAAACTAACCTGTTCGGTTCCAACTCTGAATAGTTTTGACTTGTTTTATAGTAAAATTTTTGTCTAACTCTAACTCAAGAATACCGATTTCTTTCATCTCTCACAAATCGAGCAAAAGTTTAGGGTTAATTCTGTGCTTTCTACAGCCAATGTTGTGTTATACTAGAATTTTTACACTTTTCAATAGAATAGTCTGTCATATCTTTGACAAAAATTTTCTCGAATTTACTTTAATTAGATATGTTGCTTTTATGTTAGATATTAATTTCTTGGTTTGTTGAACAAATATGTATGCAAAACGAAAAAAGAAAAAAATTTGGCTGGAGTCAAATGAAATAGGAGCTTATAATTGCAAGTAAAGCCCTGCGATTCCTAAAATTACCCGGAACTGAGCCGGAACCGTCGGTTCCGGTTCGGTTTGGGTTAGCAAAATCGAAAAAAAGCAGTTTCTTTTTTGATTCCTAAAATTTTTGCTAGGAACCGACGATTTCATCGTAACATACAAAATACCGAGTAATTGAGTTTTTTTTTTAGAAATTTCTACATTTTATCTTCCGGACTCTTCGTGTTTATTACTTCATCAACTAAGTAGCTCCTTCAAAAGGTAGAAAAAAAAGTCAAATAATGAGATAAAAAATTAACATACAATATATTCATATGAAATAGTAATATTACAAGTTCTAAAAAACACCTACTTCATCATTTCCTTATCCTCTTAATGATCATGACCACAAAGAACAATATCATCTTCGTTCCGCATTCTAAACGTCTTTTTTGTTGTTATAGTTGTAGATTGTTATTTAGTTTAGACAGGAGATTGTAGAAGATGACTGTTCAACCATCTTTCTTTTCGTTTCAGTTGTATTAACTTCATTAATTTTTCTCATCATATGATTTTAATAAAGTTAAATTTTTCTGAAAAAATAACAATAGAAGTATTTTTTCTGCACCAAGATCGATGCGCTTATCGATACTTGTGTTTTTTGTAGACGAGAACAGTCCTTCTACAATGGTGTTCGATGTTTGTACAGCATAAAAACCGTCAGCTACAGAAAATCAGATCAGTAATTTTAAATTCTGTTATTGCGGAATTATAAAACATCATCAAGTCCACTGAATGGGACATTTGATAGCATATATTCATCTAATTCATACGGCGTTGTTGACAATGTTAAGGAATTTTGTGGTATATCAAAACAGTATGTAAGAAGACCTTTTGATGTTGTCGATTGAGAATCAAGTGAATTCGTATGAATAGGTAATGGAGTAATAGTTGTACATGTAGTAGATAGTATTGTTGGCTGCCGTTTAATAATTTCCGTTTTAACTGACTTAAGAGCTTTTTCTTGAAAACCAGGATTACTACGAAAACTTTTCAGGCATAAATGAAGAAAGGTACTGATATAATGTGCATCTTGCAACATTTACGCATTTTGAAACTCTCACCCTCAAGAGAAATTTCGGCTTCTAACGGTTCCAGGTAAGAGAAACAGAAGAATCTGGTTCTCGGTTCCTTTTTTTTGGAACCGCAGGGCTCTAATTACAAGTCTGATTAAATTTTTATACGAAACTGTCGAAGTCAAAGAGAATATGACTATTTTATATAACGATACGGTCAAAAGAATTCTCAATGAAACCGTATTGAAATATAAAATGTTAGAAGTGCACTGTTGTTTCTAAGGAAGTTATACTAATATATGATCAGTCAATTTCTGAAATGACTACCTGTAGTTATACTTCGATTTAAATTAATTTTTGTTAAAGAGAAGAAATAAAGAATTACATCTTTTTGGCTACGAAATTGCTTTATTATGTAGTAGCGTAACCAGATGGAGGTCAGGTACCTTGAAAATAGTTGAATTCTGGTTAACAAGGAGTCTCCGTCCCTCTCTGTAGACATAGTCAGGATAGCTTAGCATTCTATCCTTCCTACAACTTTTTTCCGGTCATACCACTACTATTAAGTCTATATTAAGAACGGTCTTGAAAAAAAAAGATTCATTATTCTCTAAAAAAATAAAATAATTTGTATCTGTCTAAATAAACTTAAACTCTTTGATTGAAATAATATTATCATAGCAAAAAAAATGGTTCTATTACTTAAATTTATGTATTTCAAAAATAAAAAAAAAATCAATCGAAATAATAAGAAATAAATTCCGTCAAAATGATTCACTCATCCTTTTTTATTCTTTTTCGAGAATCATGAAAGAATTTTTTTTTTTGTAAATTACAATCTATATAAAAAATCTAAATAGAACTTTTTTAATTTAAGCTCCAATGAAAACAAAGAAAACCAACAATGTGGTCTAGTCTCAAAATGAAAGAACATTTGTTAGGATTGACAACATGAACCAATAAAATTATCCAATGAAATATCATGTTCATTTCATATTCTTTTTTGATTAATAAATTCAATTGAATTTTTTAAAAGAAAAAATTTTCGTAAAAAATAAATTTCATTCTTAAAAATAATTAAATATATTTAATAAATGTCGCTACAATCGATTAGATCGGCCATTAACACTGAATATAACGATTATCATTCGTATCGCAAATTGTTTGTTGTTTGTCTGTTAGTCACACGAGGCTTTTTATTTTCAATGAAAAAAGAAAATGAACATTCATGCAATCGTCACAGTATTTTCAAAATAAGTTAAATGGAGAGAATGGATACAACACATTCGCCTTCATTAACAGGCAAAACTTGGTTTGTTTATTTTAGGATATCATAGAAAAATTATTTAAATTCTTTTGTACTTCTAGTACAATTCAACATAATTCAACAAATCGAAATAATCAAAATGAAATCAGTAGTAGTACAACAATTGATATGCTCAAAGATTGTTGTAATAATAAACTTGTTAAAACATCGGATAAACATGCGAAATTTTTATTAGAAAATTTAAATTTATTAAGAAAACAAAAAGAATTATGTGATGTTATTTTAATTGTTGGTCAAAATAAAATTCCTGCTCATCGAGCTGTTCTTTCCGGTATAGAAATAGATTTAATTCTAAATAAAATTCATATCGTTTTCTTTTTCTTAGCATGTAGTCCTTATTTTAAAGCAATGTTTACTGGTGAATTAGCTGAAAGTCGACAAACAGAAATAATTATTCGTGATATTGATGAGTATGCTATGGAATTATTAATTGAATATTGTTATACTTCAAGGATTATTGTTGATGAAAAAAATGTTCAAATGTTATTACCAGCAGCTTGTATTCTTCAAGTAAGATAATTGAATATAATTAAAAGAAAAACAAGATTTGAACTTTTTGTCAAATATTTATTCTACATTGTTTTTTAAGAAATATTTTCTAAAAACAAAAAAACAGAAAAAAACTTTATCTTTTTCGAAACAGTCAACAATTTAATGATGAAATTGTATTATAATCTAAGGTTTCTAGATATTCATAGCTTGAATATATGTGTATTATTGTTGGTTTATATCTATTAAATAGTAATACTTGATATATTGTACCAGTTTAATTCTTGCACTGCGAACAATTATATGCTGTCAGTAAAGATTTTAATACCTAGAAAATTTCTATCGAAATTATTTCGTAAATTTTCATCTCATAATTAAGTATGATCAAAGAACGAGGGAAATGTCAAACTAGTAGAAATTTGATGAAAACGAAAAAAAAGAAAATGTTAAATTGAAATTCTTTTCATTGAAAATGTATCGATGCGTCAATCTCTAATAAAAAATTTCTATCGATAAAAAATATTTTTTTCATTTCCCAATCATGTGAACTATAGAGCTCGTTTCGGTATGCATTACTTATCTTGAACTCGCACTTTTAATTGAACTTATCAGATGTAGATCTAATGTTGATTACACTTTATTTTGTGTCTTCACTTATAAAACATAGAACTTAAAGATGCAGAAAAGAAAGAAGATTTTTTTTTGTTTTTTGAATATTGTATAAAATGCATTATTTGAAAAAAAAAATGTTTGAATTTAATTTAGATTGAAGAAGTCCAAATAACATGTTGTGAATTTCTACAAAAACAACTTGATCCAACAAATTGTTTAGGTATTCGTGCATTTGCTGATACACATTCATGTCGAGAACTTTTACGTATTGCTGATCGTTATACACAACAACATTTTATTGATGTTAAAGAAAGTGAAGAATTTTTATTTTTACCAATAAATCAATTAATTGATATTATATCAAGTGATGAATTAAACATGACAAGTGAAGAAGATGTTTTTAATGCTGTTATGCAATGGGTTTCATGTGATGTTCAACAAAGAAAACAATATTTACCTAAAGTAACTTTTGTTGTTTTTTTTTTATTTTAATTAAATGAAAAAAGAAATTTGTTTAGATATTAGAACATGTTCGATTTCCATTAATGAGTGCTCGATTTCTTGTTAATACAGTTAGTTCAGATCCTTTAATTCGAGCCGATCAAACATGTCGAGATTTAATTGATGAAGCTAAAGATTATTTATTATTACCACAAGAACGATTAAATATGCAAGGGCCAAGAACAAGACGAAGAAAACCAATTAAATCATCTGAAGTTCTTTTTGCTGGTTTTTTATTTTATTTTTTAAACTGTTTTTTTTTGAGTCAAATCTTTTTTTTTTTTGTTTTGTATCTAAAAAATAGTTGGCGGTTGGTGTTCGGGTGATGCAATAGCAAGTGTTGAAATGTTTGATCCAACAACAAATGAATGGAGAGCTGTATCACCAATGTCAAAACGAAGATGTGGAGTTGGAGTTGCTGTACTTAATAATCTTTTATATGCCGTTGGTGGTCATGATGGTGTTAGTTATTTGAACAGTGTTGAAAGGTAGAATACAATAAAATATTATTTTTAACTAATTATATCATTATGTTTAGATTTGATCCTCAAACAAATCAATGGAGTAATGATGTAGCACCAACAAGTTCATGTCGAACAAGTGTTGGTGTTGCTGTACTTGATGGATGTCTTTTTGCTGTTGGTGGACAAGATGGAATTTCTTGTTTAAATCTTGTGGAAAAGTAAATTTGGTTTTTTCTTTTTTGTTTTATAAATTTTTTAAAAATTTCTTTCCCTTTCCTTTAAAGATACGATCCATCTACTCAACGATGGACTCGTATAACATCAATGGGTACTAAACGATTAGGTGTAGCTGTTGCTGTACTTGATGGTTATCTTTATGCTATTGGAGGATCAGATGGACAATCTCCACTTAATACAGGTAATCTATACTGTTTTGTTTAACTATTTCAACGGAATAATCTAAGACGAACGGTTACCTAATGTAATAAACATAATTAACCATAAAAACAAGAAGATGGAGACAGAAAAATAAACACGAAGCTGATAAAAAAAACCAATGAAAACCGTTTTCGAGGTGAATTATGAAATACAATTGATCACAAATGACTAAGTTGTGATTTTTGCAAATTTATATATAGTAGATGGAATGTAATACTCAGAAAAAAACCTTCAAAAATTGATCTTGGATCAGATTCATCTAAATCACATGAAGTTTTCAAGATATATTGAAACTACGGTAAAATTTTTAGCTCCATACCATGACGGTTTCGCGTAATATTTAACAAACAAGAATCAAAGTGATGCCGGACATGATAGAGTCTTTTTTTTTAAATTCTTACTTTTTAAGGACAGAAAAGTTTAATGTCTCGAAAAATGACGTTCTCATTGTAAAAGTACTCTATTATATAATCGTAACAAAGGTTAATTCAAATAAAAGATGATGTCGCTTATGAAAAATCAGACATTGAATTATCTGTTCATGCATTTATCTTAAGTTGTTTCAAGTGAAATTTTTTTTTAGTTGAACGTTATGATTCAAAAACAAATAAATGGTCACCAGTAGCACCGATGACAACACGTCGAAAACATCTTGGTTGTTATGTTTATAATGGATTTATCTGTATGTATTATTTTTCTTAATTTAATTTGATTTTATTTAATAAATATAATTGAATAGATGCAGTTGGCGGTCGAGATGATGCGACAGAACTATCAACAGCTGAAAGATATAATCCAAAATCAAATCAATGGTCACCTGTTGTTGCAATGAATTCAAGGCGAAGTGGAGTACGAATTCAATTTAACTATATTCAATTATATAAAGAATTTTTTTTTTCTAAATAGGTTGGCTTAGCTGTTGTTAATAATAATTTAATGGCTATCGGTGGATTTGACGTAAGTTAATTGTTTTATAAAATGAGAATATACTTGTTACAATTTATCTCATATCGATTGGCTCAATTAATAATTCGTCTAACTACTTTTGATCTGTGAGCAATACTGTACTTTTCAGCATGGAATATGATAACGTAATATTTATCTGATGATCGATTTTGTTCTTCTCTTTCCTACGACTATGATACAGTTCTATCGAAAACTATATGATTACTTCTCTGAATTTTGAAATATTCTTCACAAAAGAAAACTTTAACAAATAAAGATAAGTTTGCGCTTGCATTTGGATTCGAACACGATTCGATTGGTTTGAACAGTGTTAAATATTTATAAGAAAACTAACCGAATTCTAACTAACTATTTGAACCCACAAGGAAATCTCGATAAGACTAGAAAAGTTCGTACTCATGGGCCCCTGGAACGGAGTTATGACTGTCTTACTAAATTTTTAACCCAGTTTTGGGTATCTACTGGAAGATCGTATAATAGAATTTCAATCGAAGATTTAGTCTATAGATAGATCTAACGGTCGTCAGAACTATCTATAGGCTTAATTTTGGATCAAAATTTTATTATTTGATTTTTCAGCAAATAGATAAAAATAGGTCGAAAATTCAGTAAAAGCGATCATAACTCCATTCCAGGCACCCATGATTACGAACTTTTCTAGTCTTATGGAGACGTCCTTGTGGACTCAAATGGTGGATGACAGTTGGAGAAGTTTCCTCATTAGACAATTTTGTAAGTGATTCTGGAAGTATAGATTTGATGTCGAGTTTGGATAGTTTTTGAAAACCGTTGAAACTTTTCGCAGATATATTTATCACTTGTACATTGGGATTTATTTTTTACAATGTGTTTAAATCTTTCATAGCCCATCGAGAAATTTTCTATATTGGATATAATTCTACTCTCTGATATGATTTAACTCAATTCAAAACAAAAGTTTAGACAGATATAAGATGTTTTTTCTATACACACATAGCCCCGACGTTATTGATAGTTATTAGACTGAACTTTTCAATAGTAAGTAAATAAATCTATAGGAATCTTTGATTTGTATTATTGTTGATTGAGAATAATCTTATATATAATATATTTGTTTAGGGTGCATCATATTTAAAAAGTGTTGAATTATATGATAGTGAATCAAATAGTTGGAAATTACATGGTGGAATGAATTATCGTCGATTAGGTGGTGGTGTTGGTGTGATTAAAGTTCAACAATACGATTCAATACTTTATGGAACGAATTCCATTTCTGGTTCATCATCAATATCTCCAGATGATAGTAAACATCGTTCTCTCTCGAAATTAGTTGATCTTTGAATGTCTCCGATCTTTGTTTTTTTTTTTTTTGACATGTATATTTACTTTTCTTTCTTCTCGGTGTAACATAGTTTCTTTCATCGAGTTCTATCTTGTCTATGTATAATCTCTTTCTCTATTTAATGATGGTTATTAATGAAAGCAACCTTAAAAAACAAAAAATAAAACCTATCATTTTAGATGATTTATATGAAACAATAATTTGAGAATGGATCAAAACTTTTGAAAAAAAAAGAAAATCTTGTTTTGTTATATCAATCTTTAACGAAAGTAAGTTAAATTTTTATTTAAAACAAAATAAAATAATAAAAAAATAAAATTTTTTTGAATAGAATGATAAATAGTCAAGTAACTTCAAATGATGATCAAGGATCATTATCTGAAATGAATAATGATACATCAAATAATAATATAGATAATAAAAAAGAAGAATATTTATCTAATAATAATGATAATGAAAATTTAAACGAAACAATTAAAATAATTCGTGATGGAAAAGTTCCAAAACCAGATGACGAAAGAAAATTATTTGTTGGACAATTATCATCGGATATAACAAAAGAAGATCTTCAAAAATATTTTTCCAAATTTGGTTCAATTGAAGATGTTACTATTAAATATGATGTACCCGGTGGAAGAGCACGTGGTTTTGCTTTTATTTTATTTGATGATAAAGAATCAATACAAAAAGTTCTTAATGTTCAATTACATACAATTAATCAATCACAAATTGATCCAAAACCAGCACATCGACGACCACGTTTGATTTTTATTTAACTTTTTTTTAAATTTTTTATTAAACAAATTGATTTCATTTTTAGCTGTTACAAATCCGGTGAAAAAAATTTTTATTGGACAATTACCAACTGATTTTGTTGAACAAGATTTATCAGATTATTTTTCACAATTTGGACTTATTGATACAATTGAACTTGTAAATTAAATCAAAAAAAGAATAATTTTCTTTTATTATATTCTTTGTTTTGTTTTTTTCTTTTAGCCAATGGATCGTGAAAAAAATGTTCGTCGTCCATTTGGATTTGTTTCATTTTCATCTGAAAAAACTGCTGAAGAAGTTTTACGTCAACAACGTCATTCAGTAAATGGTGCATCAATTGAAGTTCGACCAGCTAAACCACGTCCACATGAACAACAACAATTACAAATGCAACAACAATATCAATATGGAGAATATATTTTACCTCATCATCATCAGCATCATAATTCATTAATTTCATCAATATCAGCTCCAACAATTACTCATCAACCAATTATCAATGTTCATCCTAATCAAAATTCTTATTATACACATCAAACAAATAATAATAATTATCCTGGACAAGTAACTACATTCATTTTATCATTTATAAACAAGATTTTTTTGTTTTTTGTTGTCTTCTTTAGATTGATCAATGGAGTCAAGGAGCTAATAATGGTGTACCTTATTGGAGTACAGCTAATAGTGATATTAGAAATAATAATAATAATAATAATGCACTACCACAATGGTCAACAGGTAATATATGTATTTCACTTTAGTCATCTTACATTGAGCAAAACATTCAAGTTAGAACTTTCGAGAAGTTATACATACAAATGATAATTTTTAATGAGATCATCACTTTTTTTATACAAATTAACTACATGCAATATTTGGTTTTTTCAATAAAAACAAAAGTTTCGAATTGGTTACTTTTAACTTCAATGTTAATTAGACTAAGATATTTACAAATTTGCAGAAATTTCTTTTCAACAAACTTTTATGTCACAATTCGAAAGTTTATTGCATGTAACCAATTTGTACTAAAACGTAGAGCCTATCGAGTCCAAAACTTTTGGATCTGAATCTGCCTCCGGGATCAATCTGATGGACTCCACTAAAAAGTCAATATCTGATCAAACTCATTACTTACGTTTGTATCATCTCATAGCTTTCCTACTCAGTATATTTTCTACAAAATCTGAGCTGATGTCTAGAATATATATAATTGCTTTATATTGAGTACTGTAATCCGAAGGTCCTTCTAATTAATTCACCAATCAAAATGAAAGGTTTATTAGAACAATATGTAAGTATCCTCAAGGTCTTTGAGTGTTTTTCTTTAATAGATTATTGCTTTTTGCTATTGTCTTTAAGATATTTATATAACACAATCTCCTTCTTAGTTCTAATGTCTATATTATTTTATTCAAAGTTATTTTGAGAATGAAAATAAAATATTAATAAAAATTTTTTTTTTTGCTTAGGACGTAATGGTGGTTTATCAACAGTTAATGGCAATAATAGTGTATATGGTACATTAGGCAATTCAGTTTCATCTTCATCTTCAGTTTATCAACAAAATCAAGGTCAAACAATATATAATCCAAATGGAATAAATCAACAAGGTCCATATCCTCATTCAAATTATTCAAATCATCTTCAATCATCTTATGGTATATCATCATCACAATCAACTGGAAATATATATGGAAGTGGATATCCATCTTCATCATCATTAATACCAACTAATGATATACAAAATTCATCTTCATCATGGAATCAATATGCTTCTGCTAATCTTGGTAATAATGGTAATCAAACAAATTATGATCCAAATATGTATTATGCTCCTTATTATGCTAATTTATTCGCTCAACAGTACTATCCACAACAACAAGCAGTAAGCCAAACACAAGTACAAATACCTATAGAACAAACAATTTCACCAAATGGTTTTCCAACACCATCTAATGGTGGTTTAGACAAAAATTATCAACAACTTTCTCGATAAAGATAAACGAAAAAAAAAAAATATTCATGTTTCTTCATTATATTTATGTACTCTATTTCTATCTTTAATTAACGTTCGCTTTACTCTGTCTTTTCGTGTCTTTTTTCGTCTATGCTAAGCTAACATAAAAAAACCAAAGAAAACTCTTTTTTTATTTAAGTTATTCAATTATCATATATTTATATATATATGAGATAAAACTAGCGATAACAATAATTAACAAACCAATTACAATTTACATTTGTGTACTTTATTAATTTAATTGATTTTAAAAATGATGACAAGATTAAATTGAAATATTTCCAGAAAAAATATCTAAAATCGTTAAAATAGTCGAAAACAGTCATGTTCGAGATGACAGATCTTCTGAATCACCTAGGAACATTCCGGACTTTAACATTTTTGTTTCCGAATTGTGATATTTTCTAGATTCGAGCGTTTATGAATTTGATCAAAGGTTTTAATTTAATATTTACTAGTGATTAATGTACCATCGTTATTCCACTGTTATCATTATGAAATATAGAGTTTTGAAACTACTCATAATACATCCTCATTTGAGTCTAAAGTCTTTCCGAACTGAAAGGAACATCTTAGATTGTTAGAAAAAGCCATTTTAATAGACGATTTTCCTTCAACATGTATTGCAGTTTAATCTTACTAAGGTATTTTTTTTGCGCGATAATTTACTTGTATTAAACTGAATTAAATTTAGCCGTGACGGATGACTTCGAGAGCACAAATATGGATATCAATAAGATTGAAATAAAAGAAAAAAAAACAATATCAGCAACTATTTTCACATACAATGCTGATAAAACTAAACATATTATAATAAATAAGACGATATAGGTATATGTTTAACCCTTTACTCCCTGACACTAATCCAGCAGAGTTGGTATTGGGTCGACTACGAGAATAGTTTATGTAAGTGCTAAATATGACACTGATATAGTTCAACTTGAGCGATGTCATTGTACTGTGGAGATGCGAAATGAGTCAAAAATGATCTATTCATCGTGAATGACATAGAAATTGAATTTTTTGTTAATTTAATTTTTTTTGTGGTATGCCACAATTGTGTGTTTACTTATCTGTATAAACTTAGAAACTTCTCTATGATGGATTTTTTTTTTGGAAAAATGAGTCGTTTCAGGAACAACACATGATTAGACATGGGCAAAAGCGGCTGTTTTTGGATTGACATCAGTTCTTTCATTTTCGGAATTGATCGAAATCATTAGTATTCATTTTCTTCTTGTATAATATGGTATCGTCGGTCCCGATTCCGATTCGAAATCGCCCATCTCTATTGCTATGGTCTGATTCAAAAAGGAAAATCATCACAAAAACTACAGATCTCCGTCTTTTACCAATAAATGGTTATGGATTACTTTTTTTCGAATTACTATAAGCTTTAATTAATGTTTCTAGAATGAAAATATTGTTAATTATGAATTTATGTCGAAAATAAAATAATTATAAAAAAGACATTTTTTATATCCTTCACGACGAACGGATCATTTTTGAGCCAAGTTGTTGTCCCAAAAGATACTCTCTCCATATCTTGAATCAATAAAATTTCTAAAGCTTCTGTGTGAATAGATGATGTTCTTAGTAATATATATCAGCTGCTCAAACACAAGAATAATCAATTTGTGAAAATAAAAGAAACAAAAAACGAAAAAATATTTGATTTTTTTACGATTCTATAGCTAATTGACTGTTCTACATAATGTTAAAGAATCGTCTTAATTTGATATTTATTACTTGAAATATATAGTTTTTGTGAATGGACCAGAAATGACTCACCAGGGAGTAAAGGATTAAATATCGAATAACTGCCATCCGAGTTTTGTTTTCGAAATGATGAAATAGTTTTGGGTTTTATAATCAAAAATTCTGATTTACAACTGTTCGATCTTGCAACTGTGAGCACATCTCATCAATATTAATAATAAAAACAAATTAGTATTAATAGAAATTCTAATTATAATCTTATAGTATGTTAAGTTATTATATAAGATGATTCTGATATTAAATTAATATTTTATAATATGATTATTAAATACCTTGTCATAATAGAATCAGTTATTGATATAGATATTATTGGTATTTGTAATATATTCAAATCTTTACGAAAAAATCAATTCAATATTATCTAGATAATAGCGTCTGAATAAGATCATTATGCAAAATGAAGATGTGTTATTTTTTTTATATACCAGTACAAATATTATCTTGAAGTTACTCAAACGTATAAAAAAATTCCGATAACATATTCAGAGTGTGGACGTGTAGAAGGAATTCATCCATCCACACCTCATATCCCACATATAATGCTAAATGTCGTATTTCATCACAATCGTAGCAAATATCCATCAACAAAAAGAAATTTTATATGAACATTTCTTCTCTGTTCTAATTTGCATGTCTGATCTACTATGTTTTTTTATTATTATCTAAGTTGTCCTGAATAAATTATTTTAAAATACATCGTATCTCTTTCCTTCTTTTACATCATTGTCTTTTCTTTTTCAATGTTATCTTGTCAGTTAGCAAAGACACAAGAAACTAATGTGATAATATTGAAAATTATCGTTTAGACCTATATATCATAAAAGCGTCAAGTAGTTCGAAGTAAGCTAAAATCTAAAAGTACGTTATTTTTCTCTTTCACTGATACTATGAAGATAAGTGATACATATATTCATTTGATGCATCCATACTTTCATGAATTATCACTGACACCAAAATATATACTTCTCACCTAAACAAAGGTATTTGCATCTATAATAAATATCATTAAAGTCATTTTTCGTTGGATATCATAAATTCTTATGTAGCTACGCGTTTGAATTTGAAAAGTTCGTTTGTTATTTTATTGTCGTTAGGATATTAATTATATAAATATATAATAAAATAAATATGTAGAAAATCAATGAGAAACAATATAGATTAAGATACTATAAAAACCGAACATGAAATAAGATTTCAAATGAGAATTCTGATTGATAGAACAAAAAAGAAACACAATTAAACAGTAACGTTTGACATTAATTGATTTTAGTTCGACACGAATTTTATCTTAGAGAATAAATTAATCAATTATAATTTAGCTTCCTAGTTCAGTAATATTTATGTCAAACTTCAACGGTCAATTTACGTATTTAAAGTTGAAAAGCATTTGTGCATAAATTTTACACATCATTGTAAAAAATGAAGTCCACAAAAAACATACGACATATGAATGAGGTTCAATTCCGCTGCACTGACTAGTTAAGGCGATTTAATGAATGGTCGACAAGTTCTATCGTAATTAATAATGAGTACTGATAATCACTATTTTTTTATTAAGATTTAACTAAAAATATAACGAATAGCATTTGACAAAAAAAGATCAAACATATAATAAGAGAAAGAGAAGCATGATGATATTAAAAAGTTGGTCATGATGTGCTTCGAGTATTATTAAAAAGTGAGTCAACTAGAAATTCTTTTTCCAATTGTTTATCTAATATTTGCAGAATAATCATTTAATGTCAACAAGCCATTGGCATAACAATCCATTAAATTTATAATTCTTCTGTTTCGAAAAAGATATTATTTCCTGCGTAGATGTTTACTTTGTTGATTGTAAATCTGTTTCACAGTTGTCTTATTACAAGCATAAATCTTTTTTAGTTCTTCGACGATGACATACAAATTCGGACTTGTTGTAACAATATTTGAATTGAGATGAATGATGTCAACTTTCTAGTTCATTATTTATCTGAAGTTCTATCATTTATTGAACAAAAATGAACATCTCTGACGTCTTTTCCAATTAATTACGCCTTAACTTGGCAACATAACATTTAAATTATTAAAATGTAGCCTATCAAAAAATAAAACACGTGTTAACAAAATGAGAAAAAAAAATCTGTCAACTAAATCGAATAAAATATCTATCGATGAAATTGGAAGACACTGATTAACTTGGAATAGAGCAAATAATCAACGGATTTTCAAGTAATAAGATAGAATCAAGTCAATATTGAAAGTTGACAACTCTAAGTCATAATCTGTATGTTTCAACCTGTTTAACATTAGAATATAATTTAAAATGTTAATTTCATAAAACATCATGATTTATGGTGTTAACTAATTGATTGTATATATTTTTTTTTATCTAAGTGAAATACGGTGTAATGTAATGAGAAACTACATCTTTTACGTTTTGTCTCACATACAATAAACCAATAAATAAATTAAAAAGATATCTCTGTATATCAGCATTAATGTCTCAATCACAACGTTGTACGCGTTTTAATAAAAGTGTTTCATATATTTCTTGATTAAAAGTACAACATTAACAATATGATTGATTTTCTATTTTTACATTTTCATTATTGTTCGTTGTTATCATGGTTTCGTACAACATTATTTACGTTGAAAACAAATGTTTTCAGGACTATTGATTCATATTACGTGCTGCATGGGAGAAGATTTTCGTCTGAAGTTACATCGAACCAAGTCAGACATGGAAATACAACTTTGATCGTCATAATTGCAGCTCGCCCAATGTCGCTATAAATACGTATCGAAATTTTTGTCGTTGAATGTAACTCAACGAACCTAAGAGATTGGAGAATTTTCATTAGCAATTCACCTTTTTTTTTCATTATAATCAATGTGAAAATTTAGCCTATGTAAATAGTGATCGAGTTTAAATATATTAAGTAATTTCTATTATGATTATTCTGATGTTTGTCCCTGTTTTTAGTTTCATACAAAGGTAACAAAATCTGTTGGAATTTACACACTTAATATGTATAGTGATGATTCTTATAGTATTTCTGGTGATAGTCACATCAACAATGTTGATGTTTAATATAATTTCTACGCATAATATTCCCTATAATCTATTCTGAATATTCATTTTCAATCTTTTATGTGATATTTATTTATGACTAATAGTAATAAGAGACATATCATTTAGTCTATTATTGTATTGGAAGATTTTCTTAATTTTATTGAAAAGTCTCAAATAATAATTATCACAAAAAATAAGTCTAAACAAATGAATTTTATATATGAAATATAAAATAAATGAAATTCTTTGAATATTTTCTTAAAAATTCTCTATAGTATGAAGTCAAGCATTTAAATGTACATATTTTCCGTCACCTCTAACATGAAAAGATTCTGTTCTTTCAACAATATTAAGTCCTGCCAATCGATAATGTAATTCAACATAAGCAGCAGCAATTGGTTGATCACGTGTACCAACGTTATGTACAGATGCTATTTGAACACTTGCATTAAATACAAAACCCCATGAAACTGATATACGTGATGGAATAATTGTAACACGATCTAAATAAGAACCTTTTCCATCTAATGAACCACCATAGGTATATTGAAGAGCATAAGTAAAGTGGAGAACACGTTGTTTTAGACGATTGTTAACATTAACAGTAAAAGAATGAGAAGCAGGTGGTGATGACCATGATTGAAGTTCAAATGGATCGGTTATATGACCAGGTATACCATTACCATACGATGTTTGAATATCAATAACAGCTCGACTAAATAATAATATTTGAAATAAAAAAACAAAAAAAAATTTTTCTTTGTCAAAAAAAAACAAACTAAGTTTTTACTTATTATCAACAATAGACCATGCATGACGAGCAGTATTCATTATTTGATTAATTTCATCAGTTGGAAACTTTGGTTTCAATGGATCTGGACTAGTATTTGAACGGAGTAACGTACGAGGTTGAGATTCAAAATCTGTATCTAATGTTAAATATAGATATGATCCAATACCAACAGCAATTAATAGAACAAATAACGTAACAATTGATTTTAATGAAAATAGTGCCGATAGAAACATTTTATCACTTTTATCTAATAATCACAATCTGAAATTTATAATAATTACATTAATTTTTTCGAAATATTATTCAATATAAACGTCTCGTTTATATTTGAATCAATTGAAACTTAACACTACTCACCTACTCTCGAATGAGTCATTGTGAAAATGTAACAAATTATCTGTGGACACGTATACGAAATAAGATATTTGTCTTTTAAGAAAATTAAAATCAAACAACATACACTTGATAAAAATGAAATGAAGACAAAAAAAAACATATCTGTCCTTATCTTAAATCATGAAATTTCGACTTTTTAGTTTTACATGATTACTTAAAAACCTACTACCAATCTCTTGTCGACATGTTTTTTTTTAATTTGTTTCTCGGATTGATACGATTCTTCCATGGAGCTTAACTCATAAAATCAAATTGAAAATTTGAGTTTAATTTTGTCGATATATACAAAGATATCAGATAGATCAATATTATATAAAGAAATAATTGTTGAATTGGATGAAAAGATATCTAATAAAAACTTGCATCATTTCTATATTAATTCTTTGACCAAATTCAATGGATTTCTGCTAACAAACAAAAAATAGAGTTTACTTTTGAATTATTCTATTTCTGCGTATCGTCTGAATTTGAATATTCTTATCAAGAGTCATTAGATCAATTACTTGTTCATTATACAGAAGTTGATATTCAATATCAACAAACAATTAATTCTAGTGAAGTATCAATCGATCAATTTCATCGAAAGATTCATTTCAAAAAATGTTGTAGTTTTTATATCAATAGATTTGATCAAACATTGAATATGATCTTCATCATTTTTATAATCGTTTTAATATTTTAATGTAAATTTATGATTGAAAATTAATTACATATCAAAATGTTATTTTCAACTTCAAAACAATTCAAAGGTCAATCAATCAAATATAGTCTATCGAAACTACTTGAAATGTTTAATTTTATCGAAAGAAGAATTTCTCGATTATATCTTAGCGTATGGCTTAGAAAAAAAATGCATATTGTAGACCAATCTAGAATTTCAGAATGGTCTAGTCTAAACTTGAAACTGACTTAAAATGGTCAGTTCAGTCCGAGACTGCCCGTTTTTTTCAGGCTAAACTAGGATAAATTTGTCCAATTACACATCCAATCTTTCAGCAAACAGGGTGATCTATGTTATAAGTGTACAAACATTGGAGGAATTATAGATTGTGATACAGATGTAGGCTGATACTCAAATAAACTTGCATGTGCTCGTTAAGTTATCGTTGAATGATAGACAACGAATGTTTTGATGAACTCATCTGCTGTACTTTATAAACTCACTCATGTACAATTGGCCGATTCACACGAAATATTGATGAACACTGCATTAAAATTCTATGTTTGAGGCGCTATCAATGGTGTCTACTGTTTAGATAAACGAGGATATAACAAGAGCCAGTGTACTTGTAAAAACAGTCGAGTTTACTGCACGACAAATTATCATAAAAACATCATTGAGGATTAATTATGGTTTGAGATACTAATCATTGTATCCTAATGTGGTCTACGACATATATTTAGCTACTTCGGAATCAATCAAGATTTTTTCTATTTAATCGCAAAGTAATCTCTGTATTTTATATATTGATCTTTCTTATACATATTTGAAGATTTCAAAATGATATGTTACAAAAGAAATTACTCAAGTACTAAAATGTATTACGATGAGAGATTAGTTCTAATCAAATTCAATAATTAATCTTCTTAAAAATATGATTAATGTTAAATGTCATAATGATACATTTCATTAAAGAATATTTATTAAAAAAATATTCTTATATGATTTACATACCATCACAAGATCAATTTATCTTTTTTTGATAACATTCTTCATTGTCTATTGCATTTGTATATGTTTACATGTTGTTTGTCTCCTAGAATTATATGTTTTTTCTGCTTTTTTTTCTTTCTCTAGAATGATAATTTAAAATATATTAATATTGAGATAGAATTCTCTTACAGATTTTTATTGATTCATTTTAAATAGATAAAAAAAAAAAGAACCAAGAGAGAAAAATAAAATAAAAATTCAAATCTATCGCTGATTAGTATTAGCTAATCCAATACCTGAATATAAATTATTTAATTCATCAATACCATTTAATGATTTAAGTTCTGCATCATGAAATGGATTATCAAAAGTTAAGACTTCATCAAATATAGCTATTAAATCATTCTTATATGTGGAACTATAATTATTAAATAAATTATTTGATTGTTTGACTGAATTCGATGATAATTTACTTGAATTAATTGACATTGGAATATAATATTCTTGTTGATTACTAAATGGACAATATATATCACGTACAGAAGGTGAACAAACTGAAGATGAATGAGAAGAAATAGGTTTTAATGGAATAGAAGTATCAATAGACGATACATGATCAATTGTTGGTAATAAACTACGATGTAAAGATGATGAGGGATTATTTAAAAAGAGAATATTTGTCGAAATACATGAAGAACCTGACAATTGACAACTAAAATCAAAAAGAAAATTTTGCCTTTATTTCTATAAGATTATTTTAATATAATCGAACTTTGATGTGTTTGCTATTGACGATGATAATTGTTCACATAAACTATCTGCTTAAATTTTATTCTTTTTACATTTTAAATCTTCTAATGCTTCTAACAAAACTTTGTTTTCTAATGTGAAATCAATCTAAATTCAAATAAATCTTATTTTACAAATGAAAACATTAAAAAATAAATTACTGATTTCGAAAGAATATCACAAATTTTATTTGTATTACCATACTCAGAAATATCTATATTAGACTTTAAACCGAACTAAAACAAAATATATATAATGAATTCTTTTTCCATAAAAAAAAACCCAACTTACAACAATAATAATTCGATATTTTGAATTAAATTCAAATGGAATATCATGTAGAAATGATAATGATGTACAATTATTAATGTATGTATCTCCTTTTCTTTCATGTTCCTTATTTACAATATGACAAGATTGACTCATTGAATTCAAATTTTTACAAATAATCGTTTATTATACATTCAAATTAATTAATTTATGATTTATTAATAAGAAAACTTCAAATCTAAAATATAGAATTAAAAGCGTTTACATTTACGCGTTTTTTTTTTAATATATGCACAAAATGGAAATAAAAAGATAATAATACTGTACAAAAAGAACAATATATAATGATAATATGGACACCCATCACTAACTGTCAATATGAGCAAAAACAAAAAAAGCAAAAAACCAAGTTAAAATTCTAATTAATAAATGTTTTGTTTTTAAACTGTTTTAAAAGAAAAAATGTTTAATTAATTTTGATGTTTTATATCTTTGACAAGATTTGTCAAAAGTTCAGCTGTATCTAATGATGAATTATCGTTTTTATTTTTATTTGAAATAAGACGATTCGATTTTTCACGAATATTAGATGATGGAAGTTTATATAAGAATGTTCCTATTCATTAAAAATAAAGAAAAATAAAATCTGTTTTGTTTTTTATTTTTAATGAAACAAAAAAGTACAAACCTTGATCATCATAAAGAATATGTTTAAGCATTGTATTAAGATTCGAATCAGATGGTAATTGAAATAGTTTTCCTGATGATCGACATTCTACTAATTGTTTAAGCCATTTTCGAACAATATCTGTTTTTATTTTATTAACTGAACTATCAAAAAAATCTTCTAAAAATCCATCTTCACATTGAAGTTTTTCATATTCATAAGCTAAACAATTAATTTGTTTTGTTTTTTTTTTACAATAAATATTCTATTGAATTTTTTTTTTTGAAAATTTACCTTGTAAAAGCATATCAAATATATCTAAATCTTTAACAAGATTTGCTTCATTTGTTTTTTGATCAGCATATTCATTAAAAAGAGAAAATATTTCTCTTCCAACATCTGCTGGTAATAAACTTGTTAAATAAAGCATAGCTTCACTTTCTCTTCGATGTTTTTCACTTTTAGGTATTCCATCAAATTCAGTTAAATCTCCAACAACTGATTCAGCTAAATCATGTACAAGTGCTAATTTCATACAACGAACTTTTGATTCTTCTGATATTGTTGGTAATACAAGTGACATAACAGCCATTCGATACATATGATCAGCTACACTTTCAACTTTTTCAACACCACGTAATATCCAACCTGTACGAAATGTTCGTTTGGCTTGACCAACATAAAGAAGAAATTCAAGAAGACCATCGACATCACAACTCATCTTTATATGAAATTTTTTATTTCATAAAAACTAATAAAAGATGCCTTCGTTCGTTTGCTTACTTTTGTACGACGTAGATATAGTTAACCAATAGAAATTTCATTAGTCATCATTTCATATCAATATCAAATTTCAGTAAGATAATTTTATTTTAAAAAAATTATTACGTATAATAAGAATTCGTAATAAGAATTAAAAAATAAAATAGTTTTAATAAATGTTGAAGAAATAGCGACATCTATAATGTTGACAATTTAAATAATATTATTGATTGCAAAAAAACTAGAACAAGTTTTTGTATATATTGATGAAATAATTTTCTCTTATTTATATAAATCGAACTTTTGAAGACATGAAACTAAGGTAACCATAAGTGAAAAACATATTGTAATGGCAATAATGATCAATGTATGTATGGAGGTTATGATTGAATCATGAAACCTTGTAACATACGTTGTTTTTTTTTTTCTTTCTCTCAGATCGATCGATTAAACGGAAATTGTCGGTGGGTTTGCTGTCGTGTGTCAACAGGAAAATAACGTAATAAAAAACAACAATAAAAACGATCGAGCGAATCGACACTTGTGCGACTTTTAACGGAATAAAATGATATAACATAGATATTAACGTCTATATATATATATATATTGTTATTTCATATATTACAATTCTTTTCATTTATCAGGTTTTTTTCTCAAAATTTATTTTCTTAATACGGTGACGAAAGGTAATGCTCAAATATATATGTACTTTTCTATCATATATCAATAATTAAACCAATATTTATTCATTATTGAAGTTTACCTATCAAAGTACAAAAAGGTGAATGCACTCGAAATCAAAAAAGTTGATATATTGTAATATAATCTATATAGGTGAATTTGATGATATTCTTAGACATCGATATGTTAAAAAAAAAGTTCGAACACCATTAATTTTTTTCGCTAAATAAATCGAAAGAAATATTTCGTAATAAATAAAAAGATATATTTGACAATTTGAATGCCCTCTTTATTAAATAATTTTCATTTTATCATAAATGAGATACAAAATATCGAGTGAAATGGGTATATTGAACGAGAAAAGCGTCGAATAAAATAAAATTTCTCATTAGCGCTATATGAAAAGAGAATCTTTCGATTTATAGAAAAAAAAATCGAAGAGAAATTTGACATATTGTTATGAATATCCGATTACATATTTGCTTCATTGTCGAGTGCATCAATTACAGTATGCCAATTCCAACATAGAGACTTTGAATAACATTTTCTTAGTTTGAAGTGAGCAATACCATTACTTTCTTTTCTTTTCTTTTCTTTAAAAGAAAAAAAAACAATAAGAAAGAAAAAGAAAAAAAAATTGCCTATGATGTTTGTTTTCGTTAGAAATATTTCTCTGTGAATTTATGTGTTTGAGCAAAGCAGAAGTGCTAATACGCACATAAATTCACAGCTTTTATTTACACTTTACTATACGAAGAATAATTAGTTGTAAGAATGACGACAGTTTGATTTAGAAAAAGAAATTCTTTTTTGTTTTTACCGTAGAAAGAAATCGTTCGATGCTTGTGACCAATTGAAGTTCTTTTTTTTCCTTTATTAAAGAGAATTTCAAGTCATAAAGCTTCTTTTATTTTTATTTGCCTAGGAGAAGTTAATGAATGTTTTGGTCGTCAAACATCCTTTACTGTTGTTATCATTCGTCATCAAAGACGTTGTTAGTATAGATTTAAATCGATCTAGAATTTCTTATTTTTTTGTTTTGGTTATTTTAGTTGTTTTAACAGATTATCTTGGTGTAATGGCAAAAGGAACGAATAAACAATTTTCCATTCTATCTACTCGTCAGATAACTCATACACGTCTTTATGATGATGGAATACTCGAAACAAAATATGAAATTGAAAATAAATTAGGTGAAGGTTCATTTGGAACTGTTTATCGTGTTAGAAATAAAGAAACAAATTTATTTTATGCTATGAAAACAATTGCTAAAAAAGTTAAAATTTCATTTATTTCTATTAATTGAAATTTTTTTGTTATTGTTTTAGCCTGGAAATAAATCTAAAGCATCAAGTCTTGATAATGAAGTTAAATTATTAAAAGAAGTTAATCATCCAAATTTAATTCAACTTCATGAAGTACTTGAATCATCTCAGGTTATTTTATTTTTCCTTGTTTATGACTCATTTCATATTGAAAGGAAAAGAAAAATTGACAATCTCTATTTTGTTCAGTTCAAATAATAGAATCTGTTAACAATGGAAAAGTTTTGATTTTAGAATCTTTATTTAATCGTTGAATTATGTGAAGGTGGTGAATTAGGTATGCATCTTAAAAAAATTGGTCCACTACCAGAAGAAACTGTTAAACAAATTATGTCGAAATTAGTCAGTGCTTTATATTATCTTCATAAAATGGGTTAAGTTTAAATTTTATTTATTTATTTATTTCTTTATTTATTCATTTTCTATTTTCTATAGATATTGTACATCGTGATCTTAAATTAGAAAATATTTTATTAAAAAATACTCCAAAAAGTAAAACAGATGAATTTGATATTCGAGTATGTTATTCTTTTTTTTTCAATTTCTAAAAGAATTTATAAGATATTTATAAAACAAAAAGGTTACTGATTTTGGATTAAGTTCAAAAAAGAGTATTACTAATACTGATTCACTTTTTAATGATTATTGTGGAACACCACTGTAAGTTATTCATTTTTTTTTTTTTTATATAAAACAAGATCAATAATTATCTATTTGAAATAGTTATATGGCACCGGAAATACTCGATAACAAAAATTATAGCGCTCTTTGTGATGTATGGGCTTTAGGAATAATAATGTATTATTTGTAAGTCCTTAAATTTAATTTGATTGATATTATTTTTTGTAATAATAAAAATAGAATTTGTGGTCGTCATCCATATGTTGCTAATGATGAAAGACGTTTACTTGAAATAATTCGTTCACAAAAACTTCGATATGATTCAGAAAAATTTAAAAATTTATCTTCAGAAGGTTTTATTATTATTCTATGAAATTAAAAAAAAAGAAAACATATTTTTTATTAATAGAACTTGATTTTTTACAAGGAATGCTTGTTTATGATACAGTTCATCGTCGAACAATGGGTGAATTAACTGTACATCCATGGTTAACGGTAGATTTCAATTAGAATATTGTTGTTTTGTTTTTTTATTTATTTATTTATTTTCTTATTATATTTAGGGTCGATCAGATAAAGGACCAACTAAAGATATAATAACAATGATGAAAGAATTTCAAGCTGAAAATGAACGACGTCGAACATTATCAGAAAATAATCCTTCAACATTATTAAATGCAAGTAGTAATGATATTATATTACAATCAATGTCAAATGATCAATCACAAACACCATTATCTTCAACTCCAACAAAACAACATGATGTTGATCATCAAACAAAAACAACATTAAATCAAATTAAAGTTAATAATATATCAGAACGACGATCAACTGTTGATCGAAATAAATTAAATATTAAAACAAATAGATTTACATCTGATACTCTAAAGGTTACTTTCTTTTTTTACATTAATTTTCTATTGAAAAATGAATGAAATTTTTCATCTTTTTATTTTTATTAATAAATTTTTTTCTTATAATAGACATCAAGACGTTCAAACAATGTCGCACATGAATCAAATGTTACTTCATCTAATATTCATATACGAGTTAAACAGAATGAAAGAGTAATATACTTTTGATTTTTTTTAAAAATAGTT